AGGAGCTGGGACAAGTGACAGGAGCTTGCTCTGTTGCGTGGATTCGATCTTACAACTGCTGGTCTTCTGACCTTGCAGCACAGAGGCTTCTGCGGCTTAACCCGCAGTACCACCACGTCCCTTACCAGAAGATTACTTTCACTTTATCATAGCCTTCTTTAAACTGCAGATCTGGAGATTAGGCTTTGTCTCTTAATCCTATAGATCTAGTTTGATATTTATACATCTCAGATGCAAACAAAAGTAAGAAAGGGGGGATTATTAATCTGGGTACCCTGGTGTAGTGGATAAAGTGATGAACTAAGACTCGTGAGACCTGGGTCTGAATCGTCCGGTATCTGTTCAGGATGCACAGTGGATAACTCCTAACCGCTGATACCTAACCCACTTTGGTTTGTGGAGATCAGTTCTTGGCATGGCAGCAAAGAATGTTCAGATTTGTTCCAGCTCAAAATCTGCTCTGTGACTCATTTTTGTGCATGTTTATTCTTATATTGTGGGTGTCTGAAGCTTTTTTTGCTAACATTTAGAAATGTATGCAGTGTTTTGCATTTTCTAAACACATAAATTGTAACTGTGTGCCATCACGTTTATTTTTTTTTAGGGTTTTCTAGTTAGTGAGTAGTCAGAAGTGGTTTACCATTACCTTCTTCTGGGGTTGCTCTGGGATTGTGCAGCTTGACCAAAGCCACGCAGGCTGGTTCTTCTAGGATTCAGAGTGTTGAAATGAACTGCAGCCAGATGTCTACCTTCCAGCCAGCTCCTAAACACAGGCATGTTGCCAATTTTTTTTTCTTCTTGTGCAAATCTTTGCAAGCCCAGAAATGTACAGATTTCTGACTATAAATTGCATCTGGTTCTGAGTTAAAAGCCAGGAAGTGTGGAATTGATAAAAAATGAATATCTGACCTTCCCAACAGAGGTATTAAAATCTTGTGCGACACATTTAACATCGCTGCTCAGCTGTGGATTTGAAATTACAGAGCTTTTCCATGTTTTATATATTGGCATGTTTTTTAAAAAGGGTTTTTTTTTGACCTGGGTTGTAGAAAACAAAGTTATACCAAGGACTTTTTAAATTTTCTCTAAGACCTACATTAGAGGCAGAAATCTAGCAAGGGAAACCTCACTTCATCTCTAGCCTTAGGAGAACAACACCTGGTTGACTTTTGCTTCATGCAGCTGTTGCCAAGGCAGAACCACTATCAGAAACAGGGTGGTAACCAATTTACACCCAAATATTTGAAATAACTGAAAGCCATCATTACCTGAACAGAATGTTCCTGGAATGTGTGACTTTTTTTAAAAAAAAAATTGCAAGTATTCTGCTTCTGGCCATTCAATTACTTCTTAAAAATTATTTGTCCAAACTTGAAATAATACAAATGCATGATTAGAAATATCTACATCTGCAGCTCAGCTTTCTCCAAACCTGGAGCCTTCCAGCTATATTGGAGAGTAACTCCTATGCTTGCTATACATTGTGGAAGTTGAAATCCACTGTGCAACAGTAGGCCACTCACTGGGAGACCCAAGGAAGTGTCGCAACTCAGACAGGATCCAGAAACCTGACCATCCAATGTGAAGCCTCATTTCACTTGAAATTAAGTATTTTTTGTTTCATTGCCTCGCTTTTAGAGCATCGCAGATGTTACCTGTAAACTCCCAACCTGTATTTTCACATCAGCTGGCACCTGTATCCTGTTTATTTTAAACCATGTGCAGAACTATCAGTTCCATATGCAGCTCTTTATTTTTGCTTCTTGTGCAAGGAGGAATTCACAGACCTCTTGCACAAATTAACTGCAAGCTGGATCACCAGAACAAACACAGAGCAATCCAGGTGCAGAGCAAATGATTTCTGCATTTTCAAATAATCTTCCCCCTGTGAGATGGGGATCATTCCAGTTTCAAGGATGGGTTCAAACGTTGACAGCCATAGTTAGTATAATGTCACTGAGTAACCGTAGATTCTGGACTTAATGATCTTACATCTCTCCCTCCCAGCCCTTACACTTCAGCTGGCAATTCGCAATTACACTGATGATTTCAAAACATGGTAAACCAGCCCTGTTATATTGGAACGGGGTTTATGTGTGTGTCATACTCATCCTGCTGAGAAGACCACTCAGTTTCTGCCCTGATGTCCTCTCTTAATGCTATCAATAAGAACCTGACCCACCTCGTGATCCTACATCTGTTTCAGTCTGGAGCTGCTTCCAAAAGAGCAATCTGAGGGTCACAGGAGAACTGCTGAGATCAGAACTGAGTTCAAAGCTCCTTAAAGAAGAACCAACAGAACTGACTTTGTAGAAAAAGAAATTATTTATGATCATGACTGCCAAGAAGATGAATGAGCCCTTTTCTCTCATATCTCATGTACCCATTTCTCAAGAACACAACAGTTTTTTCTTCACAGCTGGTAGTATATTTGTTTGAACTTTACACACACACACACACACACACACCCCACACCCCAAGACCCTTTGTGATCATGAAGTCTTCTGACTTCTCCACTTCACCATTAACATAAGCAAATAAGTTTTGTTTGTCATTTTGCCTAATCTAGATCTGGTGGGACTCAAAATACGGGGTGGGTGATCAGCCTTTTGTTTCTGTCCCTTGCTTTCTGAATATGTTCCTTCCATGAGTAAGCTAAGTAATAAAGAGAGTTACGTTTACAAGCCAGGCAAGGGACGTGGTATAAATCTGGCAAACAACCATACCTCTGAGTCAACCATTCTGGCAGGCTCTGTGGATTTTCCTCACGGAGATGTAAAAATAGAACAGGCAAAAAAGGACAAGGAGGAATAACAATCTTAGAATAACAATCTTCGAACTACAGAGCTGCAAAGGACGCTATGGATGTTTGAGTCCAGTCCCTGCCAGGGAGTCACAGTGGGGAATTGAACTCCCAACCTCTGGCTCCGATACCTAACTCACGGAACTATCCAACCTCTGGCTAAACAACTGAGCTATCTAATGGCAGTGGCAAAGAACAGAGTGGGAGAAATCGTCTTGTGCCCTGTTTCACATCTCCAGACTTTTTTTTCCAGACAGAGAGGGAGAGATAGAGGGAGGGAGAGCCTCCAAGCAACCCAAACTTCAGAAAAGATCTTTTCAGGCTTTGCCTTTCTCAGACTGTAGGAGAAAAGAAATCTCTGCCCCGGAGACTGTCATTGGCAAAACAGACCCTCCTACAGGGAAAGCTGTGTCGGAAAGACGTTTACGTTTGTACTGCACAATGAACAGATGGGAAGCACTTGTCTTTTGGAGTAAAACTGCTAGAATCCCACAGCTGGCACGACCAGAGATCCTATGGGATTCTGGTACTCAAAAATGTATCTATAGCTCATCAAAAACACCAGATCAGGGCATGGTCTGGACTCTGAAGCGATGGGCTGTGACAGTGGAGTGTGGGGCATCGCAAGCAAATGATGCCTCGAAACTAATAAGCTGGTTTAGTCAGCAGGATAGAATCCTGCGCTTGGGACACATGTGGTCTCTGGGGGCTGCTATGAGGCGCCCTCTCCCAGGCCACATCTGGAATGATCAGTACAGAGTTTTTGTGTGTCATCAGAAAAGAATGTTTTCCTATTTTTTCACAGCCTCCCAGGCACTTCACAGCACTGTCCTGCATTGATCCAACGGGTGTAAAAGGATGAAATGTTTTCTGTGAGGCCTATCAGTGGCCTATCATCTCTCCCTAGATGTCGAGCTGGATAAACGCATTGGCAAAGCAGCCACCATGTTCTCTCGACTCACAAAGAGGGTATGGCTTAATAAGAAGCTGACGGCATATACCAAGATACAGGTCTATAGAGCCTGTGACCTGAGTACATTCCTGTACGGCAGTGAGTCCTGGACCCTTTGTGCACGGCAGGAGAGAAAGTTGAACATGTTCCATATGTGTTGTCTCTGACGCATTTTTGGTATCAAAGTTCCAGAGTAGTCCTAGAACGAGCTGGAATTTTTAGCATGTACACATTACTGAAACAGCAATGTTTACATTGGCTTGAGCATGTCATGAGAATGGCTGATGGTCGGATTCCAAAAGATCTCCTGTATGGAGAATGAGTGCAGGGAAATCGCCCCAGAGGGAGACCACAGCTGTGATATAAGGATATCTGCAAGCGGGATCTGACAGCCTTGGAAATGGATCTCACCAGATGGGAAACCCTGACATCTGAGCGTTCAGCCTGGAGGCAGGCAGTGCATCGCAGCCTCTCCCAATTTGAAGAGACCCTTGTTCAGGGAGCTGGACAGAGGACACAGTCCCAAAAGCAGCAAAATCAGGGAGCTGGACAGAGGACAGATTGTATTTGTCTTCAGAGTGGAAGGGATTGTCACGCTTGAATTGGCCTTCTCGGCCACACTAGATGCTGTTCCAAGTCCTCCATACAGAGCACGTTACCATAGTCTCTCGAGACTGAAGGATGCCTGCTATCAGTGGATGAATTAAGATCAACACAATGTGGGTATACTGTGGATCACTAGTTATGATAGCTAACCTACTAGAGGCTGATCCATTAGGCAAACTGAGGCACTGTCTACCTGCCAGAGATAAGAGATGTGAAATGTTCTACTAGTGTGTATGCCTGGTGAGGATACCATTTCAATGGCTAATCACACACCCCTGGAGGCCTCAGAAGATACAACTCTCCACTTATGGTGGAAAAATAATTAGCGAGGGCACAGGGAGCCACAAAATTTGGCCCACACAATTTTCTCCTCTGTTATACAGGAATACCTGTAGTGGCTGGAATAATCTGGCTTGCTGTGAAGGAACTGCCTAGTTATGCATGCAGCTTGTTTGCTCCTGTCTGATTCATCCCCAGATATTCCAGAAATTGTAATTCCAAAAGCCCACAACGCAGCTGGTGTTATAATAAAAATGTTTTTAGTTTTTCCCCTTATATTTAAAAAATACACTAAAATATTTGCCCAATAATTACTTCTTAAAAAACAATGAAACCATTGGAATGGGATATGAAGCATACCTTCCTCTCGTTCAACCTGCTGTCGCCTCCACAGCCACAAAACAGCACAGGACGATAGCATAATATAGCTTGAGTCATGAGATACTCCTTTTCTTCTATTCAGGGAGGCCCACACCTGCATAAATACTAGAAATGCAACTTTAGCAGTCACATTTGCATTACAAAAGGAGTCAAGTTATCCCTTGTAAACCATAAAGTAATTGTAATGATGCTTTTATGATTGCAAAAAAGAGGAATTAATTGCAATGAATCAAGTATTTATAAATACTAATTTCCAAGCTCTGAAAACCTCTACAGATTGCATTTTCTCCAGAAGAAAAAAGTGTTCCAAGTGCTCCAGAGTTTCAGAATCCTTATTTGCTCTTATACATGTGTATGAATGTGTTCCGTCCCTCTCACACACACACACATAGACACACATACAGGTGCTGCTTAGCATCCACATATCAATTTAGATTTGAATGGAGCACTTACATCTGCAGAGATAAACAATTATTTTATTAGTATATTCGCAATCAGCATCATCAAAAACATTTTTACTCCCCTCTTCGGCCAGAAAATTTCTCATAACAACTTTCAAATACCCCTTGGCCTCAAGCATGCAATCTTGTTGTCGTTCAGTCGTGTCCGACTCTTCATGACCCCATGGACCAGAGCACGCCAGGCCCTCTTATCCTCCACTGCCTCCAGGAGTTGGGTCAAATTCATGTTGGTCACTTCAATGACCCTGTCCAACCATCTCGTCCTCTGTCGTCCCCTTCTCCTCTTGCCCTCACACTTTCCCAACATCAGGGTCTTTTCCAGGGAGTCTTCTCTTCTCATGAGATGGCCAAAGGATTGGAGCCTCAGCTTCAGGATCTGTCCTTCCAGTGAGCACTCAGGGTTGATTTCCTTTAGAATTGATAGGTTTGTTATCTAATAAGCCATAAAAGAAGAGGAAAAGGGACAAAAAGGACAAAGGGGGAAAAAAGCAGGGCCACACACTAGTACAGTTTTTATCATTGCCAGTTGTGATGGAAATAATTCAGATACACCAGATGTTTGCCGGCTACTAGGTGACCGGTGAGGTTGAGCCAATGGCAGAAGAAATACAACAGCTCAACTTCTGGTTCTCTTCTGTTCTGTAGTCTTATGGAAGGGCCACTGGCCACATGACCATTTAGCTGGTTCCATAAATTTGGAATGCAATCCTATTCTACACACACCTTCTTGAAAGTATTTATTTTCAGGTCATCCGTATAAGATTGCCTAAATGCTCTAGATAAAAACCTGCACAGAGATGCAGGCAAGCCAGTGAAGGTCTCTAGTTCCTTGTGGTTCACAGGAATTTCCTGCCCTGTCAATGCACATTTCCTGTTCACTAGGGAGAGGTGATGTCCAAAGCAAACAACATTCCTTATCTCAAGAGGAACCACATTGGCTGCAGAAAAGAGAAGCGAAGGGAGTCAAGACAGCGCTCAGTTATTCGTGATTCCTCATAGATGACTGGAACAAGAGTTACATAAAGCCCGAGAGGCCAATCACATGGACCATTTGAAGCATTTATTTTTCCTCCTTTTTTATATCAATCTATTTAAATGTATCCCCTTCATGGATTGCTGCCTTGTTGTGACGAAGGGGCTTGAGTAATTCAGAGAAGCTATGGACTATGCCATGCAGGGACACCCAAGATGGACAGGTCATAGTGGAGAGTTCTGACTAAACGCAATCCACCTGGAGTAGGAATTGGCAATGCCACTCCAGTATCTTTGCCAAAAAAAACCACATGGACAGAAATAAAAGGCTAAAAGATACGACACTGGAAGATGAGCCCCTCAGTTCGGAAGGCGTCCAAGATGTTACTGAGGAAGAACGGCCAAAGATGGAGAAGCTCTATACAGTCAGCAAAAACAAGACCTGGAGCTGATTGTAGCTCTGATCATCTACTTCTTATAGCAAAACTCAAGTTTAAACTGAAGAAAGTAGGAAAAACCACTGGGCTAGTCAGGTATAATCCAGACCAAATCCCTTATGAATACACAGTGGAATTTGGTAGACAGATTGCCAGATTTGGTAGACAGAGTGCCAGAAGAACTATGGATGGAGGCTCGTAACATTGTACAGGAGCCAGCAACAAAAACCATCCCAAAGAAAAGGAAAGGCAAGAAAGCAAAGTGGCTGTCAAAGGAGGCCTTACAAATCGAAGAGAAGAGAAGGGAAACAAAATGCAAGGGAGATAGGGAAAGTTACAGAAAACTGAAAGCATACTTCCAAAGAATAGCAAGAATAGACAAGAGGACCTTCTTAAATGAACAGTGCAAAGAAATAAAGGAAAATAATAGAAAGGGGAAAAACAGAGATCTGTTCAAGAAAATTGGGGACATTAAAGAAACATTTTGTGCAAAGATGAACATGATAAAGAACGAAAATGGTGGGGACCTAACAGAAACAGAAGACATCAAGAAGAGGTGGCAAGAATAGACAGAGGAATTATATATACCAGAAAGATCTGGATGTCCCAGACAACCCAGATAGTGTGGTTGCTGACCATGAGCCAGACATCTTAGAGTGAAATCAAGTGGGCCTTAGAAAGCATGGCTAACAACAAGGCAGAATATGCAGAATACATCATGCGAAAGGCCGGACTGGAGGAATC